GTATGGATCAACTTATTGATCCAATAGAAATGGTAAGAAAACAAAATTTGGGTAAGCTATAGTCAAATTATAAGTATCAAGTAAATATAATTTATTAGTCAAATTTTTAATTATAATTACTAGCAAATCTTCTGAAACACAAATTATTAGCCACATCGTTTATAATGCATTCAAATATTAGACATTTGTCTGTTAGCGTTAATAATTTTGTGACTATTAATTAAAATATTAAAATTTTGGAATGCTAACCACCATATATCTCTTTCAACTCAGTATCATATTGTCAAGTTAACATGATTAATAAAAATTCTAAAGAGTACTTAATATTTCAAAAGATTTGACTAATAATTTGAAAAGTTTACAAGATTTGGCTAGTAAATTGCATTTACTCTCAGTAATACTGGAGGGCCAAAGTTTCACATTTGGCCCCAAAGTTACAACTTTTGACATGTTGGGTTGTTGTTGGAGGGGGGTGTTTTGAATCCGTTAACATTTTTATATCTTTATTGGAGATGGTCTGAAGGTATTATCTCCGAATCAGAACAATGTGCATCACGGAATTCTCAAGCGTTTTAATTATAAATTATCCCTAATTATCATCATTCACATATACACAGTTAATGTAACATAATTAATTATTATTTATCAATAGAGGTGAGAGGCGAGACACAAGGGCAGTGTCGTTGAGTTGCAAATGAGTTGAGTCGAGTTGAGTTTTTATCCAACTTGAACTCAGCTTGTTAATAAACGAGTCGAGTTTGAGCTCGGCTTGTTTACTAAAACCTTATCTTGCATTTTACTCAAGCTTGACTCGAGTTTGGCTTGTTAATGAGCTCACGAGCTCTATTTGAGTTTGGCTCATCAATCAGCTCGCGACATAGGCTCTAGCTCTGGTATCATATCATTTAAATTTCATATGATGTTATTTGATAAAAAATAGTATTTAAACAATCTATAAGACATAATTTCATTTTGAAAATATAAATGAGACATATTTGGTCACGTCTTCATAGTCTTAAACATTATATAGTTACTATTTAATCCGTTCTCCTTTAAGTTGCTGGTGGAGGAAGATCGCAACCATACTATCGAGGTAGTTCATAGCTCACAAACGAGTTAGCTCAACAGGCCTATGAGTCGAGTCACAAATTGAACAAGGCGCAGTTTGAACTCGGCTCATTAGTAAACAAGTCGAGTCTCGAACGAATTTTTTCCAAGCTGAACGTCGAACCGTTCATAAACAATTTAGCTCATCTGCAGCCCTAGGTAGTGCAATAAATAAATGAATCGCTATTTGCCGCCCACAGTTTTACTATTTGCCGCCCGTAGTTAGAAAAAAAGACGATTTTGCCCCTAACCCTATCCCACCCTCAACCCATCTGCCCCCCTTCAACCCTCCCTCCTCCTGCCTCCCTCCCGCCGCCGGCGACCCTCCTCTTGCCGGCCCTCCCGCCGCCGCCGACTCCTCCCTCCTGCCAACCTCCTGCCGCCGACTCCTCCCTCCGCCGCTGCCGACTTCCTCGCTCGCTCTCGCCGTCGCCAACCTCCCAAGCTCGGCGGAGGGAATTTTTTTTTATTTTTTTTTCAGTCGCCGTCCGACTGGCCGGAGCGGACGCCGTCCGACTAGCCGGAGCGGACGCGGTCCGACTGGCCGGATCGGACCCCGTCCGCCCGGTCTGATCGGACCCCGTCCGCCCGGTCTGGTCGGACCCCGTCCATTCGGTCTGGTCGGACCCCGTCCGCCCGGTCTGGTCGGACCGATCTGATTGGGTTTATGATTCGGTTTGAATGGTTCGGTTTAAATAAATATTTATTAGATTTATTTTAAATACAATTGTTAGTATCTTAATTAGTTTAATATTGATAGTTGAATAATTAGTATATAATTGTTAATTTGACCACAGTTGGTTAAGGGAATTAGGGTTTGACTTAATTAGGGTTTGACCCGAATTAGGGTTTGATCTGAATTAAGGTTTGATTTAATTAGGGTTTGGCCCGAATTAAGGTTTGATATAATTAGGGTTTGACTTAATTAGGGTTTGACCCGAATTAGGGTTTGACTAAATTATATATTATTTTGACCATAGTTGTTTGAGGGAATTAGGGTTTGACTTAATTAGGGTTTGATTCGAATTAGGGTTTGACTTAATTAGGGTTTGACCACAGTTGAAATAATCTCATCCAAGATGACGGATAACAACAATAAGAATCAACTCGACTCAACTGGACCAATAATGACAATAAAGAAGGAAAGCATCTCATCCACCTCCTATACCTTATACTCCTCTGAAACCCTAAACCCTCATTCCCCTTGAATAGCTACCTTCAACCTCGATCCATCCAATCCTACTAGGAAATTATTTTAGAGGCAAAATCATCTCTTCCTCCACTAACAATAATATTTCGTCTCGTGGAAATATATGTGATAGGCTCAAGAAACTCCTAGTTACCACCCCAGAGCCCTAAAAACACCTCGATGAAAGTTTTGGCACTATTCATCTCTTTTTGTCGGGAATGTCCGATTGATAAACAATCGATTCCAACACATTTGTATCCACATTTTAAGAGATCGATGAAAGTTTTAATATTTTTTCATGTCGGTGACTCTAGTAATTGGTAAAAGATGTTTTTACCCGACCTTCCCCGAGCCGCAAAGAGTCCTCTTCGTGCCTCGATTCCTTGGAAGTTTTATAAAACATAATTTAGGTACGATGATCTTATTAAATATGAAATAAATACAATTAAAAAAGGTTTAATCAAAATTTATAAATATTTTATAACTATTCTGCATAATTAAAATGAATTATTCATAAGTTTATACAATATTTATGATAATTTATGATTAAATATCCATTCTCTTATACACTACTTCAGATCATTTGTAATTATTTAACATACTATAATTATTTAATTGCTATTATACTGAATTTATTTATTTTTTCTATTTACATAATTATAAAATAAGTATGAATTAGTTTGTACAATATTTTTTATAATTTAATTTTTTTTCTTATGAATAAGTTTTAGTTTTTTTAATTCATAAATATAATTAATAAACATACATATAATTATTAGCATGATATAATATTAAAAAAATAGAAGATTGAGTTAAATAATTAATATCATTTAGCGACGAATTTTGTGACGGTTTTGAAACCGTCGCTAATGCACGGTGTCCGCCCGCGTCGGACGGGGTCCGCCCGCGTCGGACGGGGTCCGCCGGCGTCGGACGGGGCCCTCCCGCCGGCGTCGGACGGGGCCCTCCCGCCGGCTGTGGTGATTTGGTTCTGGCGGTGGTGGCGATGTCGGCGATTTGGCGGCGGTGGTGGATTGGCGCCGGCGACAGTAGTGGGGGAATGGAGTTTGTTTTATAAAAAATGAACAAAGGGTAAAAATGTCATTTTAGTTTAATTTACGGGCGGCAAATAATAAAGAGACGGGTGGCATATAGTAACCCTCATAAATAATCCCGATGTGAGTATTACCGATCCAAACAAACAGATTAGACAAATATAATTGATTTGGTGGTGTCGAAATTAAAGGGTAATGCAATAATAATAATAATAATAATAATAATAATAATAATAATAATAATAATAATAATAATAATAATAATAATAATAATAATCGTCATATATAGATGCAAGAAATAAAAGGAAAGAATTAGAGAAGGGTGAGGATTGAATGGGGAGGAGTGGGGCTGTGACTTGTGAATGAGGTGACCGCTAGAGGAGACAGACACATGTCCTTTCTTTCCCACTGCACCTCTTCTCTTCTCTTCACTCACTGCAGCAAAGCTGTTCAAATTTTCAAAACAAAAACAAAAACAAAAACAAAAGGGAAGTAAGAAGACAAAAATGGAGGGAAGAGAAGAGAGGAGAGTGAGAGGAGAGGCAAATGAACTCATGAAACCCAAATAACCCGTTTAGGGTCTCTCCTTGTCTGCCTCTGTCTGTCTGTAGGCTGTAGTTGTAGCCTCCTACTGCCCTACTACTCTCTCTCTCTCTCTCTCTCTCTCTCAGCTATTGGCTATTTGGTACCCACTAGATTTCTGCTGACCCAATCAAACCCTTCTTCTTCCCTCCTTTCCTTCCTTTGTAGCTGCACCACACCACTGCAGGCAGGCATCCTACCCTAACCCATTGTCATGACAACTGCTTGCAGCTCTGCTTGCTCCTAAAGAGATACAGTCATACAGAGAGAAATTCATTCATTCATTCATTTCCGGGTTTTGGTGTTTATTTGATTTCTTCATCTGTGTTTGCCTTAAATTAGGGTTTAGTTTATCATTATAATTTCTGTTATCTATGTGCCCCAGAGTACCGTAAGCTAAAGTTCGTTCGTTCGTTGTGGTGGTGGTGGTGGTGGTGGTGGGGCATCTCCCGGAAGGAACAACACCGTAGAAGAAGCCTCGGCTCGGCTCCTCTCCTCTCCTCTCCTCCAAAGTGTGTGAGAGAGAGAAGGAAAAAGCAAAAAAGCATGATACAGAGAAGCATATATAGAAGTGGTAGAGATGTGTCTTTCTCATGTTATATATATTCATAACACAGATCCCTATGCTATGCTATGGACACCAACAACAACTTGCTAGCTTCCTTGCTAGTATCATCAACCCCACATATTAACAAACAAATTAATATTAAATAATCAAACTAATAAAAACAACAACAGTCAACAAGGCAAGACTATATTTATTATTATTATTATTATTTAATATTATATGAGAAATGAAATCATACTACACCACCATAATATAACAAAATAAATAAAATAAACCACATATATAGCGTGTATCAAATACAGGGATGCGCCACACTACTATATACTGCTCTCTTTTCCTCTGTCGCCATTTCCCTCCTCTCTACCCTCTCCACATTATACATTTTCATTCTTAATGCGCCATGTGTAGATATATATGGAAACATAATAATATATAATATAATATAATGAATAAAACCAATAATGCTTGCAATATATAATAGTCATTCCTTTTGTTTCGGTTTAAAGAGACAGCTTTTGTTCTCTTCTCTTCTCTTCTCTTCTTCAAACTTCAAACTTCAAACCCACCACCACCACCACTACAAAACTCACTCACTCACTCACTCTCAAGTCTCAACAACTTCTCCCTAATCTGCGCTATGAGCTGTGACAGCAACAACGGCGGCAGCGGCAGCAGCTCCAGCAGCTGGTTGGGCTTTTCCCTCTCCCCACACATGAAAATGGACGCCGACAACAACCACCACCACCAACACTACCACCACACCGGCGCTCTCTACCTCTCCGGCAACAACCCCTCCCCCGGAATCTCTTACGACGGCGGCGGAGGAGGAGGCGGCGGCGCCGGCTTCCACCATCACTCTCCTTTGACCGTCATGCCCCTCAAGTCCGACGGCTCCCTCTGCATTATGGAAGCTCTCTCTAGATCACAACCACCTTCTCAAGGTCCTCTCATCATTCTCATTATTATTACTTAGTTGTTATTATATTAGTATTATTATTAACTAAAGAAAGGATTTGTTTGTTTACCAATATTTAATTTTGCAGGCATGGCTCCCCCGCAGAGCTCCTCTTCCTCCTCCTCCCCCAAACTCGAGGACTTCCTCGGCGGCGGACACTACGCCGCCGGCGAAGGCGGCCACCACCACGGCGGAGCGGACGACAGGGACGCCTTCCCCTTAAGCCTCGACTCCTTCTACTTCAACCACCAGCCCACGGCGGAGGAGGGGAACAACCACCGTCAACAACAGCAGCACTTGGACCAGCAGCAATACCACCAGTTTCAGACCCAAACGCTGTCGTATTACCCTGGAATCCAGTGGCTTCAGCAGGCCCCACCATCTCCCAATGCCGACAAGAATAACAATAATCATATTCATCTCTCCGCCGCGGATTCCCATTCTCACCTCCCGCCCACGGCCGCCGGCGAAATCGACGGCGCCGGCACTGATGAGATCCCGACCCTCCGCAACTGCTGGGTCTCCCGCTACATCGATTCCAACCACCACCAGATCGGCGGCGGTGGCTTCGTCGATGAAGCAGCTGCTGCCGCCGCCGCGGGTTGCGGCGGAGAGTTGCAGTCGCTGACCTTGTCGATGAGTCCTGGTTCCAAGTCCAGCTGCGTCCCTTCTCCCACCAACAACAATGGGAGTGCTGTGGTGTCGGAACAATGTATGATTGGGATGGAGAGCAAGAAGAGAGCGCTGCCGGAGAAATCTGGCCAGAAGCAGACAGTTCACCGGAAGTCCATCGACACTTTCGGCCAGCGGACTTCCCAGTACCGTGGGGTCACTAGGTCTGTAGAAGTAATTTCTCTAGGGATGGGATGGTGGTTTTTCTGTTGTTTCTTCATCATCATTATTAACAACGCCTACCAAATGTTTGATGAAATGCCGCAGACATCGCTGGACCGGTCGGTATGAAGCGCATCTATGGGACAATAGTTGCAAGAAGGAAGGACAGACCAGGAAAGGGAGGCAAGGTTAGCCTCACTCTCTCTCTCTCTTTTCCATTCTTCAGCAGTAAATTCGTTCCATGTTTGGCCATTATCGTAAACTGCCATTCTTCTTTGGTTGCTTGTTTGTACATTTCTGCCATTCAAAGTCTGACTGCGTTTTGTTCTTACCTTCATGGCTTGTTATGCTCTTCTGTGGGATGCTGTTTCCATCAATGGTGCAACTACTCTACAGTGTATCTGGGTGAGTGAGAGAACCCGTTCGCTCTGTTTTTTCCTCTGCATGGGTGTGAAGTGAGGTTTCATACTTTGCCAATGACAGTAAATAATTTTGATTAGATGGTCATTGTTTGTATTCTAGGGGGTTATGATATGGAAGAGAAAGCAGCTAGAGCTTATGATCTTGCAGCACTCAAGTACTGGGGACCTTCTACCCACATTAACTTTCCGGTAATAATGACCATTCTAACTTTCACCAGAATTTTTTTATTGACTGAGTTCTCTCGATAGAGCTTGCCAATGGAAAGTTAAAATATTTTTCTTTTACCAGCTGGAGAATTACAGAGCAGAGCTTGAGGAGATGAAGAACATGAGCCGCCAGGAATATGTTGCCCATCTGAGAAGGTTGGATTAAAAGCGGTTTTAAGATCGGATTCTGTTGGGATTTAGTTTAGAAAAAGTGGATTTGTAATGTGTTTGTATTGCCCTTTCGGTGCCTAACCTTTTTTCTAATTTGGGTTGCCAGGAAAAGCAGTGGTTTTTCTAGAGGGGCCTCAATGTATAGAGGAGTGACAAGGTTGGTCGAGTCCCCATTTGCTTTTTCTACTTCTCTTTTCACATACTGACAAAGTTTAAACCAATTAAGAAGACCATTTCCAGCCCAATTTTTTGTGCTTATCTGCCAAAGAGTTTCTTTTTATGCTTTGCTGATTCTGGTTCTGTTTTTGTTTACCCTTAACTATTTGTTTAGGCATCATCAGCATGGTAGATGGCAAGCAAGAATAGGCAGAGTTGCAGGAAACAAGGACCTTTATCTTGGCACCTTCAGTGAGTATCATCTAAGAACCATTATGCATGAGTCTAAAATATCAGTGGTTTCACTTTAATTTGAACAACCCTTTTCAAACCAACTTAAATACTTGTATTTTATCCAATTGGGTATTTCCATCTCTGCATAAAGAGCGTTCTTTTAATATGTTTTTGATATGTCATATACTCTGCTCCCACGTCTCCACTAGAGACTGGATAGTAGCTTTTCATAAGGCTGATCAATGGTGGCTGCCTGCTTGGTTGCTTTGGCCACTTTTTGGACCAATCCCCATTACTTTCTTTTCCATTTTTTCCTGTTTACCCAAACGGTGTAATGACCTCTGAATAAACACATGGAACCATTTCAGGCACCCAAGAAGAAGCAGCCGAGGCATACGACATAGCTGCAATCAAGTTCCGTGGCGTCAACGCGGTGACCAACTTCGACATAACTCGATACGACGTCGAGAAGATCATGGCCAGCAACACCCTCCTCGCCGGAGAGCTTGCAAGGAGAAACAAAGAGCCAGTTGTACCTCAGCCCATTAGCTCCGAAGTTGCTGCCATTGGCTACTTAACAACAACTAACCCTGCTGACAGCACCAGAACCACCACCACCACCAACAACACCCCATCGCCACCTAGCAACAACAACGTCAACAATGGCAATGGGAATGGACAAGGCAGCAGTCTCTCCGACTGGAACTCGGTGTTTTACGGCACCAACCATTCGGCATCGTCTTCTCCGTACATGTTGCATGACCTCATTGGGGTCGAGTCTCTGAGTTCAGGCCATGCAGTGGAGGATTCCTTGTCAGCCAAGCTAGGAGCACATTCACATTCGTCCAACCCTTCATCTCTGGTGACTAGCTTGAGCAGCTCAAGGGAAGGTAGCCCTGATAAGGTGAACAACAACAATAACAACAATACCACCACCACGGCTAATACTATGTTGTTTGCTAAGCCGCCACTTGCATCAAAGTTCATAAGCCCTGCCGCGGCGGCGACTGCAACGATCCCTGCTTGGTTCCAAGCCACCAATAACCAGATGAGGGAGTCCATCTCCATGGCTCACTTACCTGTTTTCGCTGCCTGGAACGATGCATAGGAGTGTTGAGTTCGTTGCATGAACTTTTGGAAAAGTTGGAAATGATTAGTTGTGGTTAGTGAGAGGGGATTTGGCGGGAAAGAGGGGTTAAGAAAAAGGTGGGATGTAGGATTTTCCATTAGTAATTTGTTTTCAACTTTTCAGTAGGGTGGTTAGTGGGGGGAAATTGAGGGGGACTAATGATAGGGGCAGTAAGGGTCAGTTGTTATCTGTCTGTAACCCAAGTATAAGAAAACCTTTGTCGATTCTAACTTTTGGCTTCATGTTTTCTTTTCTAGAGAAAGATGGAGGGAAGAAATTTGTTGAGAAACATGTTAAAGTATGATGGTGGAGGGGTCTATTATTATTGAGTGAAATTCTGTAGTAGGATTTGATGTATGGCTACCATGAAAAACTAACGGGGACCTTTAATATGGGTGGATAAGTAATTGTTCTAATGATTTACATCTTTGCCCATGCAATGTTTTAGCTAAGGTGGTTTAGGATTGTTTGTTTCGTGGATTTTGTGAGATATTTGTGTCTGATTTAATTTTTTATGGATTGTCACAGTCTATTGTTTGTTAAGTAATTTTTTCGGTAAACTTTGTAGGGTATATGAACTTTAATGGTCTAATTTCATGGGTTGCACAAGCTTACAAATCACATTATTGGAGGGGGGATTTGGATAAGGACAAAAAATACATCATATCCACAAATGTAATCTAGCAAAGTTCAATATGAAAACAATAAATTTTTAAATATATAATGCCAACAAATCTATCGTAAATATAGAATTTTTCAAATCTACGAAGCAAACGCCACTTAATTTCCAACCCTTTATGAATTTGTCCACATCGAGTGTTGAGTATGAAAATTTCCTCACTCCAATATGTTTCCAACATTTGCATCATCATTAACCTTTCACTACATGAAACTTAGCATTTGTATGGTTTATTTCCATTACTAACAGTTTGGTAAATACTTCATTAACTAAATGCAAAATGAATGCATGACTTTTCCAACACAATACCTCTAACAGAAGTACAACTACAACCACACATTCCGAACACAATAACTCACATGACTTTTGATAAAGACTTGAATATCAATCAACAGTCGATTATAGTGCTCCTCTCAAATATCTATACTCTCAAAGTATGTGTTCAGTAGAATCCAGCTTCATTCAGCCACACTACTAATTAAGGATATATCCAAGCCTATGCCCATAAACTGAAGAAGCTAACTTGCACTTGAAAGAGAAGAAAATTCAAAGAGTAATAAAAACAAGCAATGGCATTGAACTGTTGTTGATCATGATCATTATATATTCAAGTCGAGTTTGGCCTATTTGAAGTACGAATCAGGACTATAGCGAGAGAGAAAGAAAAAGGGAAAGGCAAGGGAGAGGTGAAAACACCTCAAACTTTGGTGCCCAATAATGCAAAAAGTTTGCCACTTTGACTCACAATGGGCCTTGGGGGATATCTGTCTGTCTATCGATTCCGCCAATCTGTTCCTCAATCTGCATCACACCATCATTACAAAGAGGACCCGCAAAGAGCTTTCCTTTCCTCAAAGGCAACAGACATTCCCACTTCCAGTCCCCCTTTTCTTCACAAAAAGAGGGTAGTAGTGGGAGAGATTCTTGATCAGATTGAAAGGCATGCATTTCAATTATAAGTTGTGTTCCACCCTTTATTTCCCCCCTCTCCCTCTTTTCATGAAAGGAAATTTCAAAATTAAATACTCATAATTAGTTAGGACTTTGTCCCCTAATCTTTGTGGGGGGAGTGGGGTTTTGTTGGTCGATCATAAATACTTGCTCTTCTTCTTTGTTCTTCTTCAAAGACAAGAAATGAGGTAAGGAAGTGGTTAAGCACAATACACGAGCCTGTATAAGATCCAACATAACTTTCTCCCAACAACTCGAGTTATTGGGACCAACTGGTTGTTGACATGGTATCAGAGCCTGGTTTGTCCGTGAGGTCACATGTTCAAGTCCTCACGACCCCCAATATTAACCGTTGTCTTTTAAGCACATGGTATGGCGGGCCTGTGCAGACTTCAAACCCATGAGTCGGCTTTCGTTTGAGGGGGCGTGTAAGGAAGTGGTTAAGCACAATACACGAGCCTGTATAAGATCCAGCATAACCTCCTCCCAACAACTCGAGTTATTGGGACCAACTGGTTCTTCAAATTCTCAGAATCACGAATATACAATAACATACAGAATACCGAATACCGTCAGAAAATTTGTAATGCTTTTAATTGAATCTAGATCGTAATACAAGTTTGATGATAGGCAGTATCTAAAGAATCAAACGAAAATTGATGATAATATTGATAACAATCTACAAATGGAACAAAATAGAAAAGAAAGAAAGAATTAAAATAGAGTTGTGGGTGGTGGTAAAAAGGGAGTGCATGTCCTGACTCCTGATGTGGGAATGCATGCATGGTCATGGATCAATTAAGAAAAATCATGATCATATCATCATCATCATCATTCGTGGGATGGGGGAGAAACTGTAGGAAATGTGGATGTCATCATCTCTCTCTTCCACCATTATTTATCTTGGTCGTGTATGTGTGTAGCGCTCGTGTGCATGGTGATTATTTTTTCCCCCAGGCCCTAGCTGTATAGCCTCATTGATTGCAGGCTTGACCAGAACACTACTGTCTTTGAGATTCTTATATATGATCATTGTGGATGAACTTGATATTCTTATATATGACCAGAACACAAAGGACATTGTGGATGAACTTGATATTCTTATATATGACCAGAACAGAACCGTTCCTTGTAGGGTTGTAAGTCTGGTTTCTTGATATTCACTGAGTCAGTCCGGTTCGATCCGACCCTAAAGGTCGGATTGAGTCATTTTGTCTGTAAGGTTAGATTAGAGTTGTGTTATCTTTTGACCTTGTAAGAATCGGTTAGGGTAGGGTTAGTTTTTGGTCCTATGACTATAGTCTATAGCAACAACCAGAGAAATGAAATTCATTGTATCAACACATTAAACATGTTTGTAAAGTTTTAGAAGTTTAGCTAATATAATATAAGGTAAAAATATAAGGCACTAGAATGTTATTTTACCAACAAAATTTTTGGACAAGTTTGTAAAAATATTAAGGGTAAATATAATATAATAGTCAAATCTTTTTAAAAATAATTTAATAGGCAAACCATCAACTTTCCGTTCGGTTGATTATTAGTTGAATATGACGTGACAGAATTTTAAGTGAGCTAGATGATTTTTTATGACGTGACAAGAAGTCAAACATTTGACCATGCCACATGGATATTATTAAAATCTATTTTGTTCTTAGAAAAATAAATAAATTTAATCTAGATAAATAATGATATGAGTAAATTAAATGATGAAAATTCTCAATGTGATTACTTTCAATAACCAATCCTTCTTCTTCGCAACTCAACTGCCCTTCTCGTCAATCAAGCCCTTTCCTGATCCATGCTCTTTCCATAACCCTATCGATGTATGACGCTCAATCGTCCTTTGCGGATCTCGAGTAACTTCACAACCAGTCTGACAACAAATCCATGCCATATTCCAACCGTATGGAGGAGGTCTACAACCTCGCCGCTCAATCCCACGTTGCCATCTACTTCAAAATCCCTGACTAGACCACCGACGCCACCAGTGCCCTCTACCCTCTCTACCGACTCTCGATCTGCCTTGGTAAGGGAAGGCTCAAATATGTAAAGAAACGAACAGTAAGCGGGTGATAGCTCAACGGAGATACGCTTGCTGTTGTCACCCTCTGCTTTATCATTGACAATCCTGTTGCTGCCAAATCTATAAAGAGAGGAATGAGGAGAAGGGAGTCAGATCATCGATTTTTTGGATTTTGATGAAAAGTGAGGAAGGGAGACATATCAAAAAATCCTGGTTGATATGATCCAACTTGGCCAATTCTAAGAGTCGCAATTACTTGCCAAAGAAGCCATCAAGGTTGGAAAGAAAAGAGGCAGAATTTGGCTAAGTGTTGGAACAGTTTCAGGTAGCTTACTTTGGAGGCTTGGTTCTCATAATTGGCTCACTGAAAATTGGAGGTTAAGAGCTTGTTTTGAATATAACATTTCTCTCTACAAGATGGCGTAGTTTTTGGATCCAGAAGAAGTCATTAAGTTTGTTTTACAAATCCTTAAGTTGCCCTCTCCAAACAGGAAAACTGTCTGAAAATGGCAAAGTCTGGAAACGTGATTGTGAAGCCTACTTTGGAGCTCAATTTGGGGAGCATGGATCTGATTCGAGTCCAAAGGCTTCCACAACATGAAAATATGTATGTTTGTCTACAAAGGGAATGAATTGGATGAAAGATTGGATATATGGAAGGCCTCTAACGAAGGACACAAAGATCGTCCAAAATCACAGAAATTATCCTTTGTAAAACAGAATTGGTTTTCATAGTTCAATTATGATTAGTTTGTTTTGCTATTTTTTAGCTCTTGTTTGTGTTAGATTGTAACTAGGGCTTATGAGGACGTGTGTAATCCTAGCTAGGCCTATTTAAGCTTTCTATTTCGTTGTAAACATAGACTTTGATGAATTGAATTGAATTGAATTGAAACCTTTGGGTTTTTGCAAGTTTGCGTACTTGTGTTGAGTTTGGTGGATTCCAAACTCGCAAGCTCTTGTATCGATTGAATAGTCACTTGAATCATGGTCGGACATCTATTCTTATACCAATCGAGCCTTTCCCTAGGTGTGGAATTGCACGTTTGGTTCCGTTCTATCTCAAACACCCAAGAAGAGTATGTTTTTGGTTATATGTTGTTATGTTTTTCATATGAAATGGTTTGTAATATGAATAGACATATTGTGGTGTAAACACCGAGAGGAGTTGAATGTTGTTATGTTTTCATATGAAATGGTTTGTAATATGGATAGACATATGGTGGTGTAAATACCTAAAGGAGTTGAATGCGTTTTGCATCTCCCGTACTCAATGACAATTTTGATTAACCATAAAAAAATTCCTGATAAACAAATATATATTTTTGGTAAAAAGATGGATAGTATCTTAGCTTTCATTCAACACCAGACGGGGTTCGGGAGCCCCTGATAGTCATACAATAGGAAATAATTAAGATTCATATATGAAACAGGAACAAGATGGGTTCCCGAAGGCATACAATGGCCATAACTGACTAAATAATCCGCGCACTTGTTGCCCTCGTGGTAAATGTGGGAGATGGAGACCTCCCAGTCTTGGTCAAGCAGCTCTATGAAAAGTGAAACAATAGCCGTGTGGTGATGGTTTCTACAGATTCGGTCCATCAAGAGTTGGAGTGCACACTTTGAGTCTATCTCGACTCGAACACTACGGTGACCAAAATTCCAAGCCACTTGTAATCCTTCAACCTCACCTCTCAATTCTAACCAGGTGATAGAGCAAATACCCAGGTTGCAAGAAAATACTGCTAAACAACATCCATTATGATCTCTGAGCAGGCCACCCTCAGCGGCGTGACCTGTATGAGGAAGAACTGAGCCGTTAGAATTGAGAGTAACCCACTCGGGAGGTGGCGGCTTCCATGAGATCTCAACTTCCGTTCTTGTGGGCCGGATGGGCATATGGATGAACCTATCCTTATCCAGGGCTGTCTGCACTATTTTAATCCAAGCCCGAATACGATGGATGAATGATTCACTGTTGTTTTGTTGTTGAACACCCCATCACTCCTGGTCTGCCAGAGGGACCAGCAAATCAGACCAAAGCTGAGATCAAACTCACTTTGCTGAATGTGTTCCAAGATCCAATCCTGTAAGCATAGACTAAAGAACTTCTGGTGGTTAGAAAGCTTGATCAAACTCACTTTGCTGAATGTGTTCCAACACATGCATGATCGTTTATGGTTCGTTGTTGCAGAGGGTAAAAGTGTGATGCTTGCTGATATGACGTCGCACTCGCTCCTCGTTCGTCATCAATCGTTCACGCGTGGCAAGCCAAAGAAAGTAGTTGACATGTGCTGGTCCCCGCCATCTCCAAATCCTCCTCCAGTTGATCACCGTTGTGTCTTCTTCCATGTTGCAGGCGATGTCGTATGCAGATTGTACCTGTAATCTGTCATTCGAATCCGATCTAGGATGTATTTGTAGGTGTCTTTTGTCACCCTCCTATGGAGCATTGGGACACCCAATAAGCGGCCAAGGTCATGCGTGGCGGGGATGCCCAATTTGCGAATTAACTCTCCGCTAGTGATTCTATAGGTATTTGCCGAGAATTATACCACGAATTTGTCCTTGCCGGTCAGCTGGCCTGAGGCAAGACAGAATCTATCCAGGCAATCGAGGATTACTTCGCCCTGGCTCAATCTCGCCTCTGCAAATAGGATCAAATCGTTAGAAAAAATAAATGGGAGAGGGGGACCACCTCATAAACAAATATAATGAAGTGGTTTGTGTTTTTTTTATTTTTGTGTTTCCTCACGTCGGATATCACCATTCTCCTTGTAATTATGTTAGTTAATGCTCATAAACAAGGGAAGAAAGTGCTCATGCATGATGCATAGTTAGGTTTCGTCATGCATTAAATACTAATCTGTCTTTAGAAATGTTGACTTACCTACACAAAGAAGGCCTTCCTAACTTTCACCACAAAAAAAGAAAAGCAAGAGAAGGCCTTCCTAATTAATGGCAGCACATGATCCGATCCCACCCTATGCACTGAGCAACTGAGTGGGGATTAGATTATAACATTTGGCGCCAATTCTGTCCACTAAAACTGAACTGTGTATGTTGCATTCCAAATAGTGTCCGTGCACAACAAACAGTGTATAAGTCTATATTTTATTCGATTAGATCATATACTTCTAGTCAAATTAGTATGATATTATAATTTATAGTTCTATTGTACGCTTAACTCTTAATCTTACTTACTTTTTAATATAGTTTCATAATCCGTTAATCTTTCAACACTGTGCTATTTTTGTTGTTGCTATATTTGTTGTTGCTGCTGTGCTAAGTTTCTTCTGAAAGCTCTATTACTAATAAAATTTATTTTAACCTCTCTCAACAATTTAACTTATTGGAATAAACTCGTTCCTGACATAATATCAAAGGTTTCTATGGCTGCGAGGTATTGTGCTTGAATCTCGGTGACCTCATTTGTGAAGCACTTCAGGACCCGTGCAAAAAAAAAAAAAAAAAAACTTTTATTAGTTGATTTAATTTTGTTTGATAGTATTAGTAAATAGTATAAGCTTAATTATGAAACCTCAACCACTCGAATTATTAGGACATGTTGGAATACCGACAAAATTTGATTTACTACAGATGGCATCTTCTTGATCTTGTTCTTTTCCGGCGATCCCAGAGATGATCTCGTGATATCTTTATATGTGGCTTGGAAAAGTGTCAGCTATAGCTTTGTCTACCAAAGGAGTTCCTTAAATTTTGTTTCTTTCGTCAAGTCAAAAGATTTACACAGCTAGCTGCCACCATATATATATATATAGTTCTCTCTGACTTAGGCTGTGTTTATTGTTTAATGCCCTCCATAATATTACATTTCCCCCCTTTTGTAGAACACATGGAAGACAACTAATCAAACGTCACCTTCCTTATGTACATAATGATCCAAATTCCTCTACCTCATAATTTAGTTTTAGAAAAAGGAGGGGTACCCATCTTGTCGTAAGAAAACAATGTCTATGTATCCATTTTCAAATTTCATGAACATCTTAACAAAATTGTACTGGTTAGGTAGAAGATCCCTGTCGAGACATATATAAGTGAAAGTCTATTTCTAGCTAGCTAGGTGTTTAGCTAGTGAGTGAAAACGGAGTTGGAAGAGAGGTATATAAAGAGTAGTTAATTAGAATGTCACACATAATATAGTCGAAGATGCGATTTTATCGTAGTGGTAAAAAACTAGGTTGATGTGTAAAGTATAAAAGCTTAAACTTTATACATTAGAAAAGTTTTGAAATATAAGATTATAGAATTTCAATAACCAACGAGACAGCATAGCAGATCACTTGTTACTTGTATAGGAATCTGTAAACTCTTATGGTGGAATAATCAGCAATTTGATAATAACAGAGAATCCGCACAAGGAGCAAACATGCATAGGATCGTGAAATATATATAATCATTAGGAGATAAAAGATAAATTTAAATAAGGGTTAATATATTTGTCTAGCCTAAATTTTGTTCATATTGAACATCCTGAACAATTTTTTTGGTAATTAATATCGTGACCCGAATTAACCCTACACTTTATTAATTTGGCCAAATCTAAGAGTTGATCGTTAGTTTTTTCTGTTAAGGACGTTGACTAACGGTTAACTTGTCACATCACTCCCTGCAAGCATAAAAAAAACTTAAAAAACTCCTAAATTCTATATAATCCCTAAAAATTATTATAAATAAATTTAAAAATAAAAAATTGACTTTTTTTTTACAAACATAATGAAGTCAGCATAAATTAACTTAAAAATTCCCAAATTCCTAAAAATAAATTAAATATTTAAACAAAAATTGAGAAACATAATGTTTTAACTTTTTTTAAAAATTTCAAAACACAATGTCGAGGACGAAGAAAGGGGAATTTAAATTTTTTTAAATTTTAATGTAATTATAATATTTTTAGGTATTATGTGGAATTTAGGAAATTTTTAAGTTTATTTATGCTAATTGGGTAGTGATGTGGCGGGTTGATCGTCTGTCAATGACCTTGACCGTCAAAACTAACGATCAACCTCGAATTTGGCCAAATTAGTAAAGTGTAGGCTTAGTTCGGATCACGATGTTAAATACCAAAAGGATTGACCAGAATGTTAAATATGTGAAAAGTTAGGAATAGAGAAATAGGTTAATCGGATAGCCACGAAGGATAAGTTGCAGAGTTGGGGTTTGATTGTTGATAACTCTTGTGATTTGTGTCCAGGGGGGCTTGAGACAAGGGACCATCTATTCTCAGGATGTTCTTATAGCAGGAGTGTCTTTTGTACTGTGTTAGCTAAATTTTGCAGGTTCCCTGGCTACTCTTCATGGCAAGATCACTTGCAGTGGGCGATCAGGCAATAGGCTGGGAGTACTGGTGGTTGCAGTGAAGGTCGTTTGAAGTGGTCCATGTGTGTTAGTTATATATGGCGAGAACGCTGCAATCGTGCACATGATGGAGTGTTCTGCCCCCCAAGCAAGTTAGCAGGTCGAATCGAGGATGAGGCGAAGTGGATTCTTGCATCTAGCCATCCCTGAGCAGGCTGATATTCTGTATAGATAGATTTCTTTTGAGCTGATGTATAGTGCTTGATAGGTACTTGTTTTGTTGACTTTGAGAGGGGTTTTGCAGTTGCAAACCTAGTGCTTAATGCAAATTTTGATTAACCATAAAAAAAGGTTAACCCTTAAATAAGTTATATTCAAGCCAGGGGCCTACTTTGTGATTTGGTGTATTTATATAGTTAGAGTTGTTATTAAGTGACCTACAGATATCGTGATCACCGAATACTTTACAGTCTTTTTTAAGAAAAAGAAAGCGGACCAGTAGTGTAGGACCAAAAAAGAGCATGTTTGATAGGAGCAGCCCAAAACAAACAAAGAGTGACTTGTACAGACCAAGGTGACTAAAGTGGTGGCATGGGTTGGGAATGAATTTTCACAATTTATCATTTTGAGAAAAATTCTTGGCGTTCGAAATATCCATGATTTTAAAAGACGTGGTTAAATTTACCAATTAATTAAACACGTACACCTAGATGTTAGGCAACACCAAAATGTTTGTTTAGGAATTCCGCAACGAGTTAGGTATTGAGAATACATCGAAAAAAGTAATGTATTGGTGGATGGATCTAGAAAATCAATATTAAAGGGTGAAATTAACATTATCTACAAACTCAATCTTTTCAATATAACTCATAAACTTTGTAAGCTATTGAGATATGATTGTATGAACATGTGAGCTATTTTCTTGTTATTAAGTGATGTACTATAGATTACTATTTTTCTTCTAACACCTAGATATGCCTAGACATGCTTAGGCAACGCATAAACAAGCTATGTGCTAGTAAGGCCACAACTTCCGCCTTACGCCTTCTCGAACCTTGGAACTAGACATTAACCCAAATCTTCTACTAAAAAAGATGGATTAGAAAGAATTCTTCTTCGTGGCCTTTAGTAAGCTATTAATCCGAATAGTCTACTCTCATAAATGGATCAGAACATAATTTACTTAATTGCTACTAATAAACTAGTCCGAATCCTCGTCTCTCTTGTATGAATTAGAAGCAATTTCTTGATGGCTGCTAGCATAGTCATTAATTCAAATGGTT